GGGGGGGGGGCGCTTTTCTCTGCCTCATCTATCAGGTAGAATGATCCCACCAATTTGTGAGCACTGACAGCAACCTGATGACAAATCTTACCGTAGTTGTTCTGTGGGGGGAAAGCATTCACTGGAGAGACGCCATGGAAGCCGTCCTCAGCTCTGTCACCCTTGGGGAACTTTCCCTGATGGGAGAAATTAAGACTAAAGGATTTAGATGGGTCCTGCCTACCCAAGGAAAACCAAGGTCAGCTTGCTGTATCATCTGGGGTAGGGGGAAGGGCCTGGGGCAGTGACCTAAGGTTCCTTTGTCCAGGTCCCAAACCAGTGGCCTCATGTCCTCCTTCATGACCTCCTGGCTGGATTAGGAAGAGTGTGTGTTTCCCCTGTGCCAACAGCACTCAAACCCACCCCACCTGATTTCTCCACTCTCAGCAACTCCGTCCCTCGGCCTTGGACCCCTCGTGCCATGGTGCCTGGGGCAGAGAGGCTTCCCCTCCTGTCCGCCGTGTCCTGCACCCCTGCCTGAGCCCTGGAGCAGCTCCTGCCTGCCTTCTCTGGAAGGACTGACGCCCACCCTGTGCTCGCTGGTCACGCCTCTTTCCCTCCACCACCAACAGACTCAGCTCCCCTCACCCACCCTGACTCCATCTCCCTACTCCTGCTCTTTACCACCAAAATTCTTGAAAAAACAACCTATATTTGCTGATGCAATTTGTTCAACCTGTTCATTTTTGTTCTTATTAAAATTAGGGTTCAGCTGCTACCACTCCAATGGGAGCTGCCCTTAAAAAAGGGAAGATGACACCAAGGTCAAGGGTCTGGATCCCTGTACTGGACAGCCACCAAAAAAAAAAAAAAANCATGGTGCCTGGGGCAGAGAGGCTTCCCCTCCTGTCCGCCGTGTCCTGCACCCCTGCCTGAGCCCTGGAGCAGCTCCTGCCTGCCTTCTCTGGAAGGACTGACGCCCACCCTGTGCTCGCTGGTCACGCCTCTTTCCCTCCACCACCAACAGACTCAGCTCCCCTCACCCACCCTGACTCCATCTCCCTACTCCTGCTCTTTACCACCAAAATTCTTGAAAAAACAACCTATATTTGCTGATGCAATTTGTTCAACCTGTTCATTTTTGTTCTCATTAAAATTAGGGTTCAGCTGCTACCACTCTAATGGGAGCTGCCCTTAAAAAAGGGAAGATGACACCAAGGTCAAGGGTCTGGATCCCTGTACTGGACAGCCACCAAAAAAAAAAAAAAAAGGAAGATGAAAGGATTATAATTTACTCAACACTAGTACGTGCCAGTTCTGTTATTTACCTCTTTCTATCTAATCTTCACAATGTTGTGGGGCAGGCACTGACTCCATTTAAAAAATTAGCAACTGAGCCTCAAAACAGTTAATTAAGTTACCAAAGATTAAGCAGTGAATAAGTCAGATCGTCTCTCTGCAAAGCTCTGATTCCAAGCCAAGGTCATCTAAAAGTTGTCCAACCCTCAGGCCCTTTTCAATGCTCCTCTGCCTAAAATGCTGGCGCTGTGCTCTGCTCACTCTGCAGGCTCCCCGGGGGATGTCATTCTCACTGGGGTAAATGGATCTTCAACTTCTGACCGAGCACATAAATGACCTGAAGGCACCTCAGGCCAAGCTGATCCTAAAGTGATCAAGTTCTATCCTCTGACCCGACATGAACGGATCCTTCTGGATAGGGGCACCATCACTATGTTGCCCAAGCTTGGATTCATGTTGAATCCAACTGTCTTCCACCCCTCCACACCTGATTCATTACCAAACCCTGCCCATCTTCTCGGACATGTCTTTCCTCTTTGGCTTCCTCTCAATTCCACTTCCACATAATTCAAGTGTTGACAACACCCTGGGCCACTGCCACAGCCTCAATTTCAGAGATACCCTGCTACCACTACAGCTCTACCTCATCTGGTCCTGCACAAATGAGCAACAATTAGCATCTCTCCCAAATCAAAATGATGTTGTTACTCCTGTTTAAAAACATGGAGGGTTGGGCTGGCCCGGTGGCGCACTCGGTAGAGTGCGGCGCTTGGGAGCATGGCGGTGCTCCCGCTGAGGGTTCGGATCCCATATAGAGACCGGTCCG